ATAGGCAGATTATTGGTGTCATGAGTCAAAAAGGGTTTGTTCATGGGAAACCAATTATAATAGTGAAATCTCATTTTCAGAAAATCAAAACTATAATACATAGTGATCTAAGTCATTGTAGATGATAATAGGCCTTAAACCAAGAAAATTCCTGTTATACAACTAAAATGATTAAAAACCTTTTAGATATGATTTTCCCCCACCAATATAGTTTTTCATCTACATGTTGGAAGAGAAATAAAGACTTACCACGATGAAATAAAAAAGATAAATAAATAAATAAATAAACTAAGGAACATTCTACGTACCCTTTTTCAAGCTGCTGATTCAATAAAAGAAATTACAATACCACCAATACGATTCTTTATGGTACGGCTTCTTTTTATGTCTCACTCTTCCCCGAAGAACAAAAAGTAAGCTATAAATTTTTTTACCTTTTCTAATAACATTTCCTCTTATCATTCTAGATATGTGTCATTGGTATGGATAACATGTGTTATCCAGCTCATACTCTAAAGCCAATAGTTCAATAGATCAAAGGGTGTTAATCAATAAAAGAGCTCTTTTAAGTACCTTTGAGAACAGATGTAATGGAGTACGGATTATATGGTGATGGTTTGGCATAGATAGCACTATGCCCAAAAAGGTGGTGAATTGGCATTCTTTCGTTTCTTTTCTTTTCACAACCATTGAAAATGATCAATGAAGGTTCATGCACTAAAATTTATTATGGTCAGGCCAATATTATCTACTCCACTCTCTAGGGAAAAAATATTTGTGCCCCACTAGGTTATGAGTGAAACATTGTGAACTTTAAATTAATTAAGCCTCTACCTAATATGTAAGCCTCAGTGATCCTATGCTCTAGATCCTAATGCTCAAATGAGCAAGCATTCAATAAAGAGGCTACAGTGAGCCAACATGCTAAATGTTGAGGTTTCCTTAAATCAATGTTCTGACTTATATGGGTTAATTACCATTCAATATCAAGCCTGAAATTAGCCTATATTCTGAACTTTTGGTTTTTAGCAAACCTGAGCTAAAGTTAAGAATTCATAGTATTTGTCATTATTTAGCTCATAGGTTCCTTTATTGGAGGGCCTTGCTTTTAAATGGAGGAAGTTTTATAAGTAAGATGGAAGCTTGACTATGCTTGATTTTCTTGCTTTTTTTGTGCTTAATAATGAAGTTCAACAACTTGGATTCCTTGGAGGAAGAAGGTGGATGTGAAGTTTCTCTCTCTCCAAATTTCTCTTTTATTTTTCATCAAATCGTAACATCCACTGAATTACCCCTTTTATACTTAGCATAATGGGCTGTCTAAGAGTCATTTTAGTGGCTGGATAACAGTCTATTTTGGGTCACATCAAAACCTAAACTAAAGTACAATCTTAAATGTCGTGAAAGCCATAAAAATTTTAATCTTTGAATTTGACATGATCATTGTTGCATTCCTCCTCAAATTAACAATCCAAAGAGTCTCTACATTTCCATACCTATGGCAGTGACTTGTATCCTAAATTAATTTTAATCGTATAGAGAATGAATATGAATACTTTTTCCTTCAAGCGAATTTTACCTTTTCTGATTTCCTGACTTAATTCGTGAAAATTCATATATGGAAGATAAGAAAAGTTATAATTCTCAAATTACTAGATTTCACATTGTCATCATCAGAATACTAAGGCACTGTTCATTCAACGCACTCGAATCTTCTCAAGTTCCCATCTCTTTTGCTTCCAAAATGTTCCATACCGTGCAGAAAGTAAGGCAATGTCTTCTTCTTCTTTGGAGCCAGATTCAGCTTTCTTTCTACTAGTTTGAGGGCTACTGTTTTCCTCTTCTCTTCTACCTCAAGTTTCTCCCTATAAAGTCCAGGTTCATAGGCTATCAGAGACCCCATTAGTGTAGATTCGTCCTAAGCTTTGAGTCCGTAAGTTTAATCAATAAATCTAATAAATATGTCACTGGTAGATTGATTCATTAAAAATATTTTATACCTATGTACCTGTCGATTTTGATACCTTTGACTCATGACATTCCTTCGTCATGGACCTAAAGTTTGTCCCAAATTTCCTTAGGTATCACATAACCCAAAATTCTATTGAATTTAATAAATTCAAGCATATGAAAACATGTTATAGTCTTTATACTTAATGATAAAAATCTTTCCTCTCTTTCAAAAGATGTGTTAAATCCTTTTTAGAAAGAATTTAAGCTCTACATTCTATGCACTAAAATTGGTTCTTTAAATGAAGATCAACATTCTACCTTTCCAATATATGTAGTTTAGTACTTATGGAAGAGCTAGCTATTCATCTGTTTCTTGAGATGTTTAAATATTTTTAATTGGTAGACTTTGATACTAATTTTTAGTTCCATATAAGGTTAGAATGTTCACCAAGAAGAAGGGTTACATGGTTTTCGAGTATGTTTTAGTTGTTTTAAACAATATCTTGATATTCTTTCTCTAGTTAGTCGACACAAGCCCCAGCTGGTCAACACAGAACTCGTTGGCTAGACACTCTGGGTTTGGAAGCTAATAATTCAATGGGTTGACGCACTTATTGACCTGACTATGTCAACACATGAGTCAACACTATAAGCTCTAATTTATATCGGGCACATGAGTCAGTCTTTCCTTGCCTACATCAAGTTTTCAAGGTTACCTACCCTTGGGTTTTAATATTCTCTCTTAGAGAAATAATTGAACTTTAGGGGATCAGCAACTCCTTTCAGTGAAAGATTTCTTCAGTCTATCCTCATACAAGCACTCCCCCATATTGTTTTCGGAAAAAATAAATTTCTGCAAGTTTATAGCAGTGTTTGAGGTTAACGTAGAAATTTTCTTGTTAATGTGAATGATATGACCATTGGACGAAATTTAGGCAAGCAAGAATTTGCTGTGAAGTTTCTTCAAGTACATTGCATGATGTGTAGGATGAGATGATTTATTCTTTTCGTACTACTTAAAACCTCTTCAAAAACTTATTTACAAAGGTCAAAAATCTCAACCATGTGATATCAACTATATGAGATGTGGTTAGTAAAAACTTTCTTGAGTTGACATGTGGTTGATCCGCTAACATGTTAGTATTAAATTGACTAACTTTTAACTATGACATATTAGAGATATCAAAAAGTCAAACTCAAAACCAATTAGCTACAGTTGGCCATCTTTACAATCATGGATTTATTTTTATGATGAAAAATGAGTGACTACTTTTAACACTCCCACTCATACGCAAGCTAATGTTTTGACTTTTGTTATGCAGATGACATAAATGACACTATGTCTAACGAAAGAGTAATCATGTCAGTGTCTTGGTGTTATCCAAGTAAGACCTACCCTGTCTTCATAATCCTGTTTTTATAATAAACAATAAGGGAAAATTCTTAGCACTAATTACAAGCACAATTTTTGTGCAAAACAATAGGATTATCAAATTTTATTTTCTTCTTTCTAGAAGAAACAGCTTCTCCCGACTTGTGAGTCTACCATATATTTCTTCTCCATATTTATCCTTTATTTTCTGATGTGTCATCTTATGTGGCCCTTGTTAGAGATCTTGTACATTTGTGAGATTTTCTGACAAGTCATATGCGTCAGATATCTTTTTCTGACTCTATTTAGATTTTATTTGATTTGACTAAGTCAGCCCATTGTTCAACACACTTTCTCTGTTCAAACCAAAATGAGTCCACATGCACTTTTTCTCTTTGATTTTCTTTTTATGTCACATCAAATTTGTCTGATTTTACAAGGTCTACCATGGGTTGACACACTTTCTCTGCACACCAAAATGGATCATCACACTCATCTGTTGGTCAACACCATTCTCTGATCTGAGTTTGGTTTAAACAAAGCTACACTCCTGATCATCCGCACATCATCATTCCTATATTTCTGATTTATCATTTAACTTTTCTTCTCTCGTCACATTCTATGGATCACTGGAGGATCTCACTCTTAATGACACCATCAAGTCCTAGAGATCTGCCTCACATGTTCAGGCCAATAGAGAGGATAATATTTGAATGAGGTACTTTACGAACTTTCAAATCTCACAACAGGATGAGATAATCAGCGTCCATATTTTCTCATCCTGTTGTGAGATATTGACACTGATTATCTCATTCTGTTCGCATCAGGAGGTGACGGAGAGGTGACAGAGAGGGAGATTCCACCACTCAAGAGGACAACGGGGGAAGTTAGTCTGAGGAGATGATGCACCAATGGAGACTGGGCATCAGGTTCACCTGGACATAGTCTTTTTGGTAGGGGACAATTGTTTAGGGTGAATTGGCCATCCTTAATGAATTGAGTTGAATGGGTAGCAGCTTGGCCTGGCCTAATAATCAAGCCTTTAACGGAGAATTGGCATAATAGTCAGTATTTTAATGGAGTCAAGTCTTTGATATGAATTAGTTCAGCAATTTGTCATATATTTTCGTTGGGTATGTACATGAGAGGATCTAATCCAATAGCTTATCCCTCTGACTTCTTTCTTTCCTTTCCTCCTCAAGAATGCACACCAGGACAGTCTAGATTCAGATGAGGATGTACCTACTCATGAGAGAGACGTGAAAGGAGAGAAATTAGATGGATAGAGAGAGAGAGAGAGAGAGAGAGAGAAGAGAGAGGGTGACAAGTACACATTTCCTGGCCATCTTCAAGAAGCCGATCTCCGGAGAGGAGATGTAGTCCACGGGCATGTGCGCCGCCGCGTCCGTGACGAAGGCAAATGAACCTGGGCTTCACAAGGGTCTGGCCTGGGATTGATCCTCTTGGTTTTTCATGGGTTTTCATGGGTTTCCATTGATTCTCAACCATAAAATGGTTTTCATTGATCAGATTCAGTTTCTTAGGTTCAGAGAGCGAAAGAGAGAGGGAGGGGCAAATTCATTTCGGCTGTTAAATTCATTAAGAAACAAAAACAAACGACTTCAACCTTTCTGCTTTCTTTAATGTTATAAAAGAAAATGTCTCCTATACATCGTCATGCTCCCCATCCCCTCAAAAGGGTCGCCCTGGCGACTCGGCTCACACCCAAGGTGAACGCACCCATCCGAAGGCTGCAGCTGTGGGTTCGGCACATTGCTTTGATGTTCTCAAATGCCTTCCTCATGTACCTCTGAAGCTCTACATTCACCTTCTCTTCATCCCACATAAACCCTTGTATGTTCTGTTCAATAAAGACAGGCAGATGATATCTGATTGCTCATCAACTGCATTTATAAACGAAAATAAAAGGTCTTGCAACAAAGTTCAAGACTTTTTTCTGTGTTACCTGAACCCACTCGAAGTAACTCACAGTTACACCCCCAGCATTCGTATAAATGTCAGGCAGTATAACAACTCCCTTCTTAGACAAGATCTGTGCGAGAACCAGCTCAGTCATTAGACCTTATATCATGCAAATTATTATATCTTTGTAGGGGAACTTTTTCTCCCAATGTTACCTCATCGGCTTCAGGATCGGTGGGATGATTTGCCGCTTCTATGATAAACTTGGCCTTCACCTCGCCGGCATTCTCCCTGAAATTGATGAAAGCGATGATAAACTTTACTCCCATAATTCTCACAGATTGAAATTCAGAGACTGGGAAAATCAACTGATGACTCCTTCATAATCAGTAATCAGTCTTGTTTCAGATAATATATCATGTTTATATTGACTGTGAGAGCCCACCATATCAACAAGAGGTTCAGCTTCTTTCATATTTTATCATCATGCTTTTCAACTAAGAATCAATGGAGAAAAAGCAGAGCAGGACCCATATATTTAACAGCAAGATTCATTTATCCCATTCAATCTGGGGGAATTTTTAAAGTATTTAACACAAATAGCACGAGAAATAGCAACATCGTGTCTAAGAAACACCCACGAGAGGAAAGGCGTGAAGGCATGGAATCCTACCTGTTGAGGACGCCACCCAGGGCACAAGGAAGAAGGACATCGCATTCATGGATGAGCAGCTCGTTTGCGTCCATGGGGGTTGCTCCTTGAAAATCATTAAGAAGCCCACCCTCACCCTTATGCTTCAGAAGTGCAGGAATGTCTATGCCCCGTGGATCTTCCATAGCACCAGTTATATCACTGAGTGCAATGATCCTCCCACCTCTCTCGTGAATGAGCCGTGCCGCCCATGAACCCACATTACCAAAACCCTGAAAGAAGTACCAGGTTTAATGGCAGGAGCGGTCCTCTTTTAGCAAAGGAGAAGCACGGAGGGGTTTAACAAGCTTTTGCTCACCTGGATGACAAAAGTCATTCCCGAAATGGATTTTCCATACTCTGCTAGCAGAGCCTCCGTTGCATAGACAACTCCTCTTCCAGTAGCAGCTTCCCTACCCAGTGATCCACCAAGATCCTGAGACAACGATACACACATCAAACTATAGTTAGTTTCTACAAACTAAAAGAGAGAGAGAGAGAGAGAAAAGAATCAAATCCAGAGAAGGCCCTTTTGAGGGTTGCTTACAATAGGCTTTCCAGTAACAACAGCTGGCGAATGGCCATGAAACTTGGAGTACTCATCCAGAATCCAAGCCATCGTCTGGTGAAGTTGAGAAGCAAGAGAAGACTGAGACATCATTCGGAAACATGGGCAATATGGGATTAACAAGATTGGATGAGGATTACCTGGGAATTCGTTCCCATGTCCGGGGCAGGTATATCGGTGTGAATCCCAATTAGATCGTGGATCTTCTGAGTGAAGACACGAGTAAGACGTTCCAACTCGCTCTTGCTCAGATCACGGGGCGAGCACCCAATTCCGCCCTTTGCACCGCCATACGGTAGATCTACTACGGCAGTCTTCCATGTCATAAGTTGAGCCAGGGCATTGACTTCATCTGGGTCAACCTGGAGGAAAGACAAATAGTCAGACACTTCAGTCAGCAGGATGACCCACAAGCTGGGAGCTTCAAGCACATAGAATGGTGGGAGATGAACTAGCACATCAACAGATCAATCACGACACAACAGACGGCCAAAAGATCTATTTCATTTGTTTAACCGTAGATAACCCAATAAAAAACAATGCAAGATTCGATCAGATGTAGTTCATGCTGGAAAGAAGAATAATCGGTGGAACCCATTAGGTATTTTTAATATTACCACGATGAATCCTAACATTAAGGTAAGAATGGGGTAGAATCCCCACACTCTGAACGGGAGAGGAAGATCACCTCGGGGTGGTAGCGGATTCCCCCTTTCATAGGCCCGCGGGAGTTATCGTGCTGTACCCTGAATCCAACATAGGAAGCCATCGTTCCGTCGTCCTTCGGGATCGTGCATTCCACCTACACAGGAACTGGAGTCGGAAACAACTATAGAAATCAACCCAACACCAAAAGAGAAAGACCGTAATAAAACAAAAAAGCCGCAGGCAACGAGAAAATCAGGAAAAAGTTGAACACCAGAAAGGAAGAAGAACAGTTCTCTCTCTCTCTCTCTCTCTCTCTCTCTCTCTCTCTTCTCTACCTCACCTTGACTTCGCGGAAGGGGATGAGAAGGCTCTTCTCCAGCTTGGAGTCGAGCCCCAGGAGGCAGGCGGCTTTGCGGAAGTTGCGGCTTGTCGCCACGAGAGAGTTCATGGCTGCCCCTGCCGGATGGGGACGTGGGTCACGCAGCTGGGCGGATCAAAAAGGGGGACTGTGGTTTCAGCGGAAGCGAGTTCCCGGTTCCCAGCAATCGGAGGCTTCTCAGCCAACGAAGATTGCCAGGAGGTGGATGGAGGGTAGTCGGGAGAAGAGGACATGCCCGAGGAACGCGTGCCCCCCATGCTTTTACGAGAAGGCCACCGGAGGAAGAAACAGCGACAGAGGGGGTGGGGGAGAGCTGCCTCTCCGGTCTGACGAGTCGCCCATACGTCACGACTCGGAGTTCCAGTTTGTCTCCTCCTCTAAACCGGGTCCCACCTGAAAACCACCGCATTTTCTCGTTTTAACAAATATTTTTAATAAATTATATCTCTGTTCTTAGTTAAATATTGGTAATTACTGAACAAATTTTTCGGTGATACTCGCACATCAATCGGACTGTCGTGTTGACCAAACTTGTCTTTATTCAACTAAATGCTTCCTTTGTCAAAGCCCTCTTTCTATATTTTCCTAATTTTATTTTTAAATATAAATATAAGGTATTTATTCTGACAGATAAGAACAAGAATCCAATCCCATTATCCTCCTCGAAGAATTCAACAAAAAAGTTTTTTCAAGGTAGTTTTGTTGCTTGTGCTTGGAGGTAACCTTCAACATTGAGCTAGTGGGGAGACCCACACTAGCACCCATGAAAACCAAATCTAACCTTGAAGGAGTAGAGCAAGAGAGGTATATAAAAGGGATATTCTGCGATGAGCCTCAATATCACTTTGAAACGGAGCTATTATAACGGTGTATTAATAGATGTCAATCTACCTGATCAAGTTTATATGGATTATTAGTAGTCAAAAGTATGGATTTAATGTTAATTTGTTCTTAATTAGTGGTCACCAGTTCATTTTTCTTCAAATTCCTCTGAAAGAAAGCTTGTAGTTCAGTATGTTGCAGAGAATGCGAGCCTGCTCGTAAGGAGAAGAGAGGAGGAGGTCGCTGAAGGGGTACTTATCAGAAGGAGAAGGAGAGATCGAGAAATGGCACAGAAGGAAGCCCCTAGAGATGGGTATAATTCTGTAAACGACCTGGTATTTTCACCCCTCCTAAGCAGCATAGAACGAGGCCAGATCCGTGCTTTGTTGCAGTACGACCAGAACATGGAGACACTTGAAGCTTGTCTCTGCAGTATTTCTGAGATTTCGAGGAGAGGAGGAACGATAGCTAGGTCACGCTGTTACTTCACTGAAAAAGATCACGGTTTCATGGCGCTACTGACGTAAACCGCGATGGGAACCCTGACGAAATGACCCCTACTCCCCTCCAGCCGCAGTTCCCCGAAGGTGAAGGTTCTCAGTGCCTCTCGGGCTTCTAGCGAGATCCTGAGAAGCCTCGACGAGTTGGGGCGTATGGAAAATACCGTGGGGTCAACAGACACGGAGACTCCCGCCGGATCCCGGACAGTGACCCTGTACATCTCCCTCTCGTTGGCGACGCTGGTCACCGTCCTGGTGACCTCCCTCAACCCCACCAAGCTCGAGATGGCCACGCTCGCCGTGTTCAGATCCGAGCTCCACTCCTTCCTCTCAGAATCATGGCAGCCCACCCCCACCGCCCTTCGCACGGAACTCGAGTGGACGCCAGGCACAGCGCAGAGAAATCCAACATACTGCTCAAACCCCGCGTCGAAAACCAGGCCCGGGTCCATCGCCATAGCCGGGTCGACGAACCCAGCTCCGAGGTCGAAGGGATTGGCAGGAGATAGCTGGCCTGTCCCTTGGGCAAGGATGGGGGCGCCGGCGATGTCTCTGTCTCTGGCCGTGGTCATCAACGCCGAAGAGATGGCGGCGGGGCTCCAGTGCGGGTATCTCTGCTTGATGAGCGCGGCAATGCCGGATACGTGCGGGGTGGCCATGCTCGTCCCCGACTGGATAGCAAAGCTCTGCCCTGTTCATGGCGGATCGAAAATCAGCCCCTGTGAAGGTGGGAGACGGGGAAAAGGTCTGGGCTTGTACAGCTAGGTATCATGTATGTGAATCTAGGCTAAAAAATGTAATCTTTTTCTGGGAAGTTGGGAGGGACTTGCCCTAAAGTTTGCCAGACGCAATAGGAGGAAGATTTGCTTGAGGAGGATGTTTGTGGGTTACCTCTGAGATGGGGATCCCCCTGGCTTGCGGGGCTCCACGCCGCCCAGATGGAGGACCCCGGCGCCATGACGTTGGGCTTCAGCACGTCGGCGGCCTGCAGCAGCACGTTGTCAACGTCAGGCCCCCTCGACGAGTACGCCGCTACAACGGGCGCTTCGCCTGTGTAGACGGCATGCCGGCCATCCGTTATTCTCGCTCTCGCTCCGAACACCAGCACCTCCCCGCGGGAGCCTCGAGCTGAGTTGGCGTTGTAGTAGTCCCACATTGGCTGCGCCAATCCGGCGGCATTAGAAAAAAAGATAGAGAGGATAATAAGGCGGCGATAGCATGGTAACAAGCGACGAGAAGAGAGGGAGAAGGGAAAACCAGAACACAGAATAAGTAATTCTCGATTTAACACAGTGGAGTGGCGGGGGGGGGCCTGCCTTGGAGTTGCCGGAGCTGGTTATGACGGCGCTGGGGACGTCTATGCTGACGGTGGCTACTGTGGGAGGAGCTTCGGAGCCGGCGCCAGGTTCGGCGACCAGGATGAAGCCGGCGGCGCCGAGCTTTCTCATGACGTCGGCAATGGCGGCTTTGATGGCTCCACCGTCGACATCGGAGTCGACGGCGCAGGTGCAGATGACGATCTTCCCCTCCACCAGCCAGGGGACAAAGGCTGATCGGTTCAGACAGTCCCCCCCGGATGAACCCCACGTGCTCCTGGAGGAGACGTCCGTTGCAGCGGCCATGGGGAACAGTTCTTCTCCGGGCGTCGGAGCTGGGATAAAGAATCACCCATGAAATAGAATAGAGTCCTCTCCCAGTGTGTGAGCCATCTTAAAGAAACTCTGGCTATGGTTTCAAGGAAACTCGAGGGGTCATACGCGAGAGGCCGGCGGCGGCGATGCTCCGGCCATTGCCAAGAACTATGGCGTTGTTGTACTGGCGGTCGATGGTCGAGGCAGCGACGCTGAGTATCCATGGGCTGAAGGAGAGGACGGAAGAAGACGATGGTCCTCCGTTGCCCACTGCCTGGACGACGACCACCCCTGCCTTCGTTGCGGAGAGCAGCGCCACGTCCAGTATGCTGAGATACACCGCGGGCCCCGAGGGCACGCTCAACGGCCCCAAAGACAGGCTCAGAACGTCCACGCCGTCCTCCGCCGCCTGGTGAAAACCCTCGAGAAACCATCACGTATTACTTTTTCCTTCTAGACATTATTTGGGTGGTTGATTACACTGCAGAACCTTATCAACAGCGGCGACTACGTCCGACATGAAGCCTCCAAACTGGTACAGGGCTCTGTAAACGGCGATACTGAGGTTTTTCGAAGAAGACGACTTCAGATTTGACGATTTCTTTGACGGGGAAGGTAGAAAAAGTAGAGTTCTTGTAGATTTTCTCGATTTACCGGGCACTAGGGGCCATCCCGCTAGCATATCCGTAGTTGAAGCCGCCCACAATGACGGGTACGCCGTGGTTTCCGGCGGCGGTCGCAGCAGTATGGCTGTTCACAAGCTTCACAAAGCAGATAAGTATGATCTTCATAAGTCCTACAGATGCTTGGACGAATTAAAGCTCTACCTGCCATGGCCATCGGGATCGAAGGGAGAAGCGAAGTCGGAGGTGGCGTTGAACTCGCCGGCGGCGGCTGCACCGCGGGCAAAGTGCCTCGCGCCGACGATCTTCCCGTTGCACGCAGTCGGCGGGAAGCCGTCGCCGTGCTCGCACTCCCCTCTGAATCTGCCCTTCTTTCCCCTCGACGACTCGCCGGAGCTGGAGAAGCTGGGATGGCGGGGGTTGACTCCGGTGTCCACCATCCCTATTACGACTCCTTCTCCGGCGTTTTCGGGGCCGCCCAGATCCGGCCACACGCCTCCGGTAACCCCGAGATAGTCCGGAGTGTGGGTGGTCAACTTCGCCATCTTCACGTCCTCCTGGATGAACCTGACGCCTCTTGCTCGGCGTAGGATCCTCAGAACCTGTAAACAGCTAAATCCTCACAGTGATTCATCTCGGTCAACGACTATCAAACCTTGGAGTAATGAATGGCCAAACATCACTATTCTTCGCTTCCATTCCGACCCACCCGGCCTTCTACTCGAAGTCAACAGAGAATAGTTTCTCGAAAAGAATAGTTTTGATGTGTTGACTTGGCCATATAATGGAGAGGACCTTATCCGAGGTTGTGTGGACGGCGAAGCCATTCAGCAGGTGGGTGTAGCTGTACAACTTGGTGTAAGTGCCCTCGGGGAGGAGGGAGAGGAGGAAGACGTCGTGCCCAGTGGCCGCCCTCTCTCTGTACATCCTTTTGTCGTCCCCTCCCCTGAGGAAGAAAGACAGACTTAGAGAGAGAGAGAGAATTGGGAGGAGAGAGAATAATGGTTGCAGAAGAGAGGGAAAGAGGGGCAGGAGAGAAGAGAGAAGAAGAGACTTCTGGCGCGAGATATATGTACAGGGGTTGATGACGGTGGCATCTCCGGTAGGAGATCACGGCATCGTCATCCATTAGGACAAGGAAGACCTTGGCGGCTATCTGCTGGAGAACCAGCGCATGGCCGAGGAGGAAGATGAAGACAGTGAATAGGGAGAGGCATGGCGCCATGAGACTGTTTCACCTTCTGCTCGACGTCCGCCATAGACCCCCCCCTGTCATGCCTTAAAATAGTGATGGGCCAAGTGATGGGTCTTCTTCTTCTTCTCACTGCTGCCCTGTTTGGGCGAGAGAGAGAGAGGGGGAGAGTTTTCTATGCAGATGGGTCACTCGAATGGAGTGCGGGAGTTCAGACATACACGGTTTTCATGTTCGCCAACAGCCGGGGGGCTTCACGGCCATGGGTCTTTCCCATTGTCCTCGCGTTTGAGAGAGAGAGAGAGAGAGAGAGAGAAGAGGTTCTGCATGTCATCTTCCAAGACTGTACCCGTGAAACAGGAAATTCTGCTTAACATTAACATTCAGTCCATGGGGAGTTCAACACGGCACATGAACTGAGCTAACCATTCTCGTCATTTTCAAGTCAGCAGTAGAAGAAGAGAGAAAACGAATGAAATGAATGGAAACAACCCGAGTTCCAGGAATCTTCGAGGCGATTTCACCCGAGAATCAGCCACCAACACCATCTGGGCTCGACGGTAGAGAACAAAAGCTCCGTCACCCATCAGGAGGAAGGAAGCGCATCCTGCATGGAGCTAGCTCAGCTCCTCTTTGATCTGTGTTGCCGTGTGTACTCCCAGAGAGCTATGGCGCCGCTGACGTGGACATTCAGAGAGCGGACGACCCCCAGCTGGGGAATCTCCAGGCAGGCGTCAAGGCAGTGGATTACATCCACAGGGATTCCCTCCTTCTCATGACCCAGAACCAGAACCTGCAAGGGCAACGTTGATATGATTCTTGGTGTATGTTTTTTGAGCCAGTAAAACAGAGAAAAAAAGGAAGAAAAAAAAAAAAGGCCCACTTCCCCTTCTTCCCCTAGATCAACGATAAAATTATCATATTCTTTTTTTAAATCTTATGCATCATTTCAGATGTATATAGTTTGTTATATGCATATGAAATAAAAAAGGAAGAAATGGCAAGAAAAAAATATATGATATGATAGGCCAAGAAGAAAATAATGATCCTCATCCCCATTCTTGAGACGAACCGTTTTCTTGGGGAAGGAGAACTGGTCGATGGGGGTGCTGTTGGTGGTCTGCTCCAGGCCCAAGATGGAGAACCCCTCGTGCTTCTTCTTGTTCAGGAAGGCCTTCATGCTGCCCACTGGGACCTCTACGATGGGAACCCACTTGTCCGCTGTAACACTGCACAGAGACATGAAGGAAGAAGTCTGTGTGTAACACTGCAGTTTTACAGAATGGATTGGAGTTTGTCAAAGAGGAGAATGAAGAGATGGGGAGCAGAAAATTCATGTCCTTTCCATGGAGGATGTGTGAAAGTGTTACCCTCTTTTAGCCCAATTAAACCCTAAAAGAAGCAATGACGGGTCTCTGATCGGCAGGCATCTCCAAGTATGGATTTACTGCAGTTCTTGCAAGTTTGGGATCAACAAATGGAACCTGACAATTTTATAGTAACAAATAATTCAAGTATAAACAGTCACTTCTTCTTCTGCTTCTTCTTCTCAAAGCATAGAGCAATTGCTAGTTACATTCAATTACCCTGCCCACATAAAAAGGAAATTGCCTAGGTCAAGGAAACTGCCCAACTAAAAAACAGACCAACAGAAACTAACCCCTAATTACATGTTTCTCCCAGATCCACCTCCACTACAGACTAAATCATGCCACTGTATGAGGACTGTTGGCCTAACTTTGAAAGATGTTGACCTATGAAACCTTCCATTTATGGTCTACCTCAAATATCTCTGGCAGATCATCCACTTTCCAGAATTTCATTACATGCATGAACCGGGTTAGGATAAAACGTTCCTTGTAGATTCCATTCCCGTTACGTTCACATGATGTAAAATCCAACAGGAGCCTTGATTTGTTGACGCAGAGAATTGCTTTCTAGTCTCTTGTTCTTCATCATCAGATTCTGCTGAGTTATGCAGCTCAATTTCAGCATATGCATTGCTTAAGATCATCATAGGAAGAACTAACAAAGACGCAATCGCCTCTTCCAACGAGAAAGTTGACACTAGAACCCATGAGTGGAGTTCGTCACATATTTATGGTTGGGATAGGTCATGATCCCAATAAAGTCATAAAAAAATTAAATATAAAATGTAAACGGTAGAATTGAGAATGTCATGTCATAAGAGATTTTGTGCCAACATATGGAAACGGATTTGCCTAACTAGGAATCCATGAACAACAACATATGATTGTTCATGTTTTGGGCGATTTAATCGTGTATCTTGCATCGGAATGGCAGGAAGTTCTTGACTGCCGGAGCATAGGATTCGGAGTTGGAGTTGGTATCTTTGAAAGCCATCTGACTGCGGATTGTATATCATAATGATAGCAAAGATCATGCCATACTTTTATGACAGTTTACATGCAAGGATAGAATTAGCGCCTTTTATGTGATCAGCAAGATGACTGTGATACCTGATGAGCTGAAACTGCTTATCCTGAACAATACTCACGTCTGCAATGGCCAACCCAGCTGCTTTGAATACCTGAGTTTCAGAATGAAGCATCATTTAACTATGAACATATACGTTATGCTCGAGATAATAACACGAAAAATAAAAAGATTATTTATTTCTAAGAAGCAGACCTCGCACGTCCTTGCTAGTCCTGCAAGATTAGGGATGCGATCAATCAGGGATGCAACGAGGATAAATGTTTGCTGACTTCCTCTTAGTCGTCTGACTTCACGATTTCTTGATTGAAGAGCCGAACAGAACAGCTGATCTTCTTTCTCGATTTCTTATGTGATGGGAGTACATGCAAGAAAAAAAAACATAACAGGGGAAAAACTGGGTTACCTCCTTGATTAATTTTAGACATTTTTCAGACAGTAATACTTACGCCTGAAGATCACTGACAGGAACAAATAATTCATTCAGCGGAACGTGAGCACCCAACTTTCTTCTTCCCAAATAAAAGAAAAAATAAAATAAAAAATAAAATAAAATGAATAATATTATCTAACTCTACCACTCCTCGCCAGTTGCCAAATAATAAACTGAGATTTACTGCTTCACAATGTGAAAGCCCTCCCAAATTTACACAAAATGACATAAACACATGAGACAAGTCTGGCAAGGAATATAAATACAAAAGAGAGACCATAGAAAGATGGATGGATCATGGTTTGAGTCCAGATTCAAATTTCAGAGACCAAACTGTTCAACAGATGTGGCTGACATAATTATTCAACAACAACATTATTAAAAAGCACTTTGACTATATACATCTATGCACAATGAGAAACAAAGAAAATAATCACACCTCAGCCAGATCAATACAAAACGAATAGTATTTCAACAGAAACCGATTTTAAAGTTGAATACTATCTTAAAGTTTATATTACCTGCTAATATCCTTGGAAAGTCTTGATGGCCTGAAAAGCCACTAGCTTCAAATTCCAATGGTTGATTATGAACTTCCGGGAGTGTTATTTTCTTCTGAAAATGCTTCTGGGAATCGACTGACAAATGAGAGAAGGAAACCTGTAAATTGCAATCTCGCACCTCTTCCATTGTCACGTTATTGTCTCCCACCACTAAGCTCTCATTTTTTATTGTCGTAGCATCTTTTGCCATGGAGTGTCTTAGATCATCCCGCACATCCTGAAAAAGCGGATGTTCAGATCATGACTACATCAGAATATTTGCAAGGGGGGGGGTTGAAGAAAACATTGTGCTTACATTTAGGAACGTGATCACTTGTTCCATGAGGGTTATTGGGACACATTCAAACTGAGATCCCTACAAAAAATACAGAATCGAATTACATTCCCAAAAACACTTCCTTGAATAGAAAATGAATGCAACATAGAATCAAAAACCATGAAATTTCTAACTGTGCACCTTTATGCATGCCTTTAGTCTTTATCATAAACAATGATTTACAAGAGTATCGTGATTAGAACTACGAATCAGTGTCAAACCTCATTTCTGGGATTAAATACTCCAATGGGGCTAGGATCAAAGGAATCGAGAATCCCTCCCATAGATGCTCTTAATCTGAAAGGTGCAAAATATATCAGTGCAAACGACATCAAAATCCAGAATCTCCAATAGATGACCTCTATGCTGATACGTTTAACTTAGTATATAGCATCAAAATAAAACGAGGAAAACAAACTTTCCTGAAATATTCCTGATGTATCAAAAAATAAAGACAAACATACTCAAAGCCTAAATGTTTGGTGATAACTTCATATAAAACATTGAAGTTTATGACAATGGCGGAATGCAACCTTACTCATTTTTTTTGTAAATTTTCATGTTTTCCTCCGGCACAATGGTCACAAAAATATAACTATTAAAACAACAAATTAATCTCAGCATCTACATAACAACTTAAACAGGGCAAGCTGTACAACATGTGATAATTTGAGAAAACCAATGAGGTCAGAGGGGGTTCGTGCAATCCTTTAATGACCCCTTGAATGAGCTCAGAACGGAAGCAACAATAATGTTAGTCTGTGGAATAAGCAAGTCACGCTCTATCTTAAAGCACAGAACCCTAATATCAATTCATTCTTAATGAAACAACGATGTTCAAAATGCTTACATGAAAGAATCTTATATTCATATAAAAAATGATACCTTACACAATCGACATTTCCCGCTAAATATAATTTTAGCTCATCAAGGCATTTTTTCTCAATTGCTACAACTTGATGATGATCACTCTCCAGAATAGGCACCAATTTGGAAAGAACTTTGTAAACTAAAAACTGCAGAAGAGAATACACATGTATAAAGACATGTAGGGGAGCAAGAACTAAGCATATCACGCATAAATACCTGAGAAAATCCACGTAAGCTGTGGTGATGAGATGTTAACAACGGAATTACTGGTGGAAGTAAAGCATTCAAGTGCTTTAACTGAACAGACACTTCACTAGCATGCAAGATTATATTTGCAGCGATGAAGACATATGAAGAAAGAACCTGCATTGACATAGGTAGCTCGTTTCATAACAGAGAGTAATAACTAAAAGAATACAAAAGGATTACCTGAGGTCGAACATCATAGTCGTGAAAGATTGGTAAAAGCTGCTCTTCAACCTATCAAGTTTGAACACCATGTAAGTTACTAATCTGCCAATACGTAGTTTATCATTCATCAAGGATGTTATAAAGTTTAACTAGGAATTTACAAGATAAAAGAGAAGAGCATAAATCAATCACATGAAATTATGAAAAGGCTTTCTTCATTTTCGAAAGCATATCAAACTCAGTTTCCAATATCCATAAATGAAAGCTTCCCTTCGTTTGTACCTGTTCATTATGATCTGAGCATCAATGAACACAGTCTTTTATGTTTCCATCTCCTACATTCACTTTCATGATTTATTATTAAAGTCCAAGAAATCGAATCGAAACCAAAAACCGGTAGAAACGCTGTACTTATATTTCCTTTCTACGGCAAAGGAAATATAAGTTGATATAAGGACTGAAAGAAGATTTGTTACAAATGACTTTTTCTAAATCGTATTTCTCCCACAAGTTCTTCAATGGAGAAACATAGAGAAGAGAATAATCCAGTCAACCATAAAGATAATCCTGTAAATCGAACATGAACGAAAAACTTTGTTCGACATGCAAATCACAAATGTAGCTCTATTTTCAAAATGTATTTATTAGTGTTCAATTGTCACAACTATACACCTCCACTACTGCATTCCCTCTTTCACTTCTCACACCAGGCAGAACTTTCAATAGTACTTACCCAGGGAATAATAGTTTTCCGTACTAATTCTAACCACAGGAGCCACATATCACATGTTTGGCATCCCCATAATGCTCATCTTGGTTCAATCCTTTCTCAACTGCCTCTCTGTGTCTTTGATCTTTTCTAACTTTTCCATAGATCTGACAACTTGCATTTTCAACGTTCAAATAAATTACCTTAAATAATTTGTGTTCTACCTTCTATTATCAGTTATCCAAAAAATATAAAATGTACACTGAAATGTATAACGATGAGCAGATAGAAAATCATACCAGAGAAGGAAATTTCAAGTAAATCTGGATGGCAAATGTTTCCAAGTATTGGCGAACAGAAGGCAAGTTGTTCCTCTGCCAGGAAAATGAAAAGAATTTTAGTACTAAAATTAAAGCATATTGTTTGGGTAACATAAGTATTATTTAATCAGCATATTTCCGGGTCTATACCTAATGAGAAATAAAAGAAAAATAAGAACTAACCCCCATTGCAAACAATTCCAAACGAAAATATACGTCGGCGTTGCTATACATATATTTCATAAAATTATACATATATATAAATTTATAACAAAACAATAAACTTTTATGAAATATTGATATAATTGATAACCTTTAGTAGCACCCATCTGAATACCCCAACCCTGCTTCGTCTCTCATCTGGGAGGGGTAGCATGGTGCCTTACAGTTATGAAGACTTGTTTTTCATTCTTCTTCTTAACCTGTCTTTTCCTTCACTACTTATTTTAATGTTTTCCTGACTGCAGCAATAAACCCAAAAAATGATCAGACTGGCTACAGAATCTAAGAATTTGTTTTCCGGTCCACGTCTATTTAAGAGTAAATTAAACCTCTTTGTCAACATTTGTTGTTTTTATAAATACTAACAGGAAATGACTAGATTTCCACCCTTCACATACGAGATCGGCTAGTCCAAATTCTAGTCCACATAGGGTGATTCTGAGTACTACGTCCTTTTCTTTGGTGACCTCATACTGTCACCCAACCGCAGTAAATGAAAGAAGGGAGAAGATGCCAATAGAAAGGAGAGAGACGTTAAGAAGTACTAACATAAACAAAACATACTGAAAGCAAAATGAAGCTGTCAAAAGTGGCAACAGTCCAAGGTTCCTAGATGATTAATACAAAGAATCAAATAATGCCACAGAAATAGTACGAGAATTTCCAAATAGACTCAACGGTCATGTCATTTACTGTTCAACATACGCAGAAATGTCATGTGAACCCAAAACGCGAGTTTCCAATATGTCAAAGGAGACCAAGGAAGCGCCAAATAAATTTGATGTTTTTATTTCCCATTCTTTTTGTATGAAAAGTTGTCAGCTCGGATGGGGAAATTTGTGCAATTTAATCCCAATTTATATTAAGCAAAGCCTGGCATGTGCGGCAGCCTTTTCTGATTAAAACGACTATGGTCTCAATTAATAAGCAACCCAACCGCCACACTCGCATCAATTGGTTCTCCTGCTTCCTAGTCTATCAATTCTTAAGCTTGTTATTCCTCTTTCTGCCTTGATGAAACTGTAATCAATCTTGGTCCCAAGAGAATGATAGCAAGGAAATCAATTTAGCCCAAGCACAGAATTCTTGCAATTCAAAATTGACTTATCCATACGAAGAAAAGTGAACAAGATTAATTTTTCCAGTAACACGAATTTCTGTTGCCCTGAAGAAATCTTAAACATTAATGTTTCCCAAGTCTCCACTAAGAAATATTTTCACTTTAATGTGGATGTAAATAGTCAGCTGATCTCTACGCATCACTAAGAAGACAATAGAACAAATTACTGATAAAATAAGCAAAAATCGCTTACATATAAACAAACATGCATTTTAGATGAAACTTCATTAACTATATCCTGATCAATAAAACCAGATAATACACATATCATCTGCCAGGCACGAACTTTGCGCCGGTGGATCTGCACAAGAAACAGAAAAAAGTAAAATGATCATAAGCCTAAAAAACTAGACAATACTTTTACGGAAAACTGAAATATAAAATAAACACAACGTATTAAACGAATTACTCACAGCACTATACTTCTTGTAAAGCTCCTTCGCTAAATCTTTATCAGTCACCTATTCCGAAGCCAATAATGGAAGGTAAAAAAAATCAGCAAACACAAAGAAACATAACAGAATCAAAAAGAGGTATATAATAGAGTAGATAAGGGACGATAGGCATGTGTAGTGAAGAGCACATGTGGGGAGGTGGCCATTGGGTGCGCTTGGATTGAAGGGAGGGTGTCAAATCTCAAACGTGTAAGATAATAAACAAACGTAAACTAAAAAAATTGCTCAATGAAAATGATGCAAATGACTTTCGTCTAGGGGGCAGAAGTTCTCCAATTAGTGAAAAAGCAATTCAAAAAGTCCACAAAACAAGGATGATAACGAATAATAAATTAAAATGAAGAGAAGCAAAATGTCAGGATTACTCAGAGCAGTCGCACCACACAAAACCAAACAATGATGTGCTGCTCAAAAGTTCAAGGTATTTAAAAAGTATAACCCAGATTACTTCTAAAAATGCATGTTTCATTTAGACTGTTAAAGATAACGATAATTCGAAAGAGTAAATCTTGTTTCTGAAACATGGGTAGTAACGATAATTCCATACTGCGGAATCAAGAAGGTCTAGCAAAAACATCTTCCCAGCATGAAAAGCATCATCATTATCCTTCTTGTTTCCAAAATTTTGGCCCAAATTTGCAAGTTTGTCAAAGAGTACGGCAACAGCTGCACGTGCATACATCTCTGTATTGATAAATACCTACAAGAGTACACGATGACCAGTAAGGAAACCTGGAACAATGCCACTCATACAGATTGAAAGACACATTCTTTATTTCGAGCAAAGCATAAATAATACTCCTTCCAGTTAAGAAAAGCGTGCAATTAAGAAATAAAAATTAAATAGGGATCTACCGACATTTCACTGTCTAAGGATGCCTGAAATAGGTCTCACAAAAGAAGATAGGCTATAACCTAAAATTACTGTTCAACAGCTGTCTTTCATACTTTTCCTTTTTCTTTCTGAATCTAAGCATTCAGACAGTACCCTACATGTAAGCATCCAAACAAAAAAATGAATGTCATTGTGAAGTGTTACAAAGTGACATTTAAAATTCTCCAGAAATAATTATGCAAGAAAATCTCAACTTTTAATTTTTAGCCAGAGAGATTATTTCAAGTTTTATTTGAGCTTTGCTTAATAAATTAGCACTTAATGCACAGGTATAAATATGCAACAAGAAAAATAATAGATAACCTCCAGCTTCCATCAGATCATTAGACTGCTAAGACAATGTACAAATCTTGACCTTTTCAGGTCAATTAGAAAATGCTTGGTCATGTAGACCTTGGTGTTATCTGAGCTTATTTTTTTCGATTGAACCATGTTCATTCAAGTCCATTATTATGGTATGCCAAAGATCCACAACAAGAAAAGTTTCACTCAGGATGGCTTTCGCCCAATTCTATTTCAACCCATAGTCTTCTACCAGTCCATAAATATTTCTTATACACACCATTTCCTCTTCATTGACCATTGCCTAAACCAACTGCGGAAGGCCTTTCAGCTTTTCAATTTAGTGGAAAAATTCAACTTCACTGGTTGCCTTACCCCACTTGCCCATCTTCTCACAGACAAGATGTAGGCTTATGAATATTAATTCGTAGTCCACGCACAACAGAGAAGTAGATAGTGAGCACAAAATCCCTTTCACGTTCTGAACACCGTATCTTACCTCTGCCAACTCAGCGTGAGGAACTTTAGCTAACATCGATACTTCAAATACTGCTTCTTGATTTTCAGATAGCTCAGCAGCAAAATCCTCATCAAACGCCACTGAAAAGAAAACTTCTCACGTCAAAATACAAATAAAAATTAAATTATGAACAAACAGAAGTTGAATTTGAAAATGTGAGAAATAACGAGAAATGAAAATGTAAAACAGAAAATTTAGGTACCGGAGCCATAAAGTGAAAGCAATGTCAATTCTTTTATGTAATACTTGACTGTCTTGGGATATGAGAACCATAACCCAGTTAGATGCAAGGCTGCAAGACGCATAGTACGCGGACTTTTTGTGCCTTCATCAAGAATCTTTTCAATAAACTGCAGAGGATAAATGTTGTTCAGTTGCTGTGGAGAGTCTAGCATGGACAAGAACATAAAGCCATAAAAACAAAAACCATAACACATTCTTTTGAAAATATGCAACAAAATTTTAATCTCATATGTTATATAAATTCATAGAAGCAATGGGTAACTTCTAATATTTTTCAAATTTAATTTATTAATACATAAGGAAGACCGGGAACACAACATAAGACCAAATAATATAAAACATAAATGAAAATTGAATATAGTTTACATTCCTTATCAAAATACTGTATCAAACCCTCAGTGTGCACAAATTGATTTCTACATCTATCCAGTGATGTAACTAGCAATTGAATGTTAAGAATACAGTTGCAGTAGTCGACAACAAAAATGAGTTTTAACTGTCGAATGATAGGGAACCAAACCAGCTGCGATATTGACACGAAAAAAATATGTGAAAGCTAAAGAGTTCATACTAATGCTATAAAATGAAAAGAATGAACTATTTATAGTAATGGAAATTGAGAAAAGTACAAGTGTTGATTGCACAGTAAGGGAAAGGTCTGGTATAACTGAAGGGATGGTGTACAAATATAACAAATCATCTACCTTGGAATGCATATTGTATTAATTGTTTAAAAAATAGATTACATAAATTAAAATTCTAAACGTATCCAGACAAGTTCCATTAAATTCTAAAATTCTAAACGTCATCATTAGTTTCCACCAAATTAAATTAAAAGAATTAAGCTCGTAATAAAGTAGAAAGGTTCCCTGGTTTGTGACCAAATTGCCTACAACTTTGACAACATTCTATGCTATAATGGCATCCATAACTATGTCTACAAATCAAAAATTAGGAACCCACGTTCTCTCCTTATAACCCTCTCTAACTGTAAAAAAATAAAAAACAAAAACTAAATGCAAGCTATGCATGGCTTAACAGTTGAAAGGTACATTGTAAGGGTACATTTGAAGCATCAGTAGGGCCTCTCTGTTAGACATCTTGAGATATGAAGTTCTAGAAAGATTGATGGTAATTATTAACCCATTGTCTTAAATAAATGGGAGACAAATTTTACTAAAACTTTCTGCTATCAGAACCCCAAGAGGGTATTTTTTGGGCACATGACATGCAACACCTACATGGGAAAATAATATTAAGGAGCTATGAACGAATTATCAAGGAGACAAGGATTATTACTAGTTTAGAAAGACCCTGGTGATCTCAAATTCCATGCTCCAGCTTGCATGTGTGGATTTCTTATTTTATCATTTAGTGTCATGTAGCGTTTGGTGTGGATGCATATAATGTGGCATATTGATAAAGCTTTTTCAAACTTTTGATTACAAACACGAAAATCATCCTCTTAACAAAGTAGACATCATCTTGTAATGAAGCAACTTAAACCTTCATTAGTTAATAAAATGGTAGCAATAAAAGAAGATAATACACTAACTCAAGTAATTATGAGAATGAAACCAATTCATTATCAATAGAAACATCCAACAGCTTGGTGTAACTAAAAATGTTGTCACACATCATATTGTGGGAAAAAACGTATAATTAAGGATCAGATTATTTGGTCAGTGTCCGATGTTGGTTTGGCTGTTGGTCAGTTTTGCTATTGTTCGCCAGTTTCCAAATCTGGTACATCGTGGGAGTCAACATAGGTAGTTTTCCTTTTTAGAGGCGGGGTAATTGTATATAGCCAGCAATTGTTCTATGAATAGGCATACCGAAAAATTTCCGCACTTGTTACTCCAGTTTGGTTTACGTTATATATGATTCTTTAAATGCTAGCAAAGTTTTTTCGTTGTGACTGGAGGCCAAAACCTAAGCTGGCTTGAGATGAAGTGGAAACATATAAAGTAATTCGGACTGAACTACAGTAATGAAATGAGTGAATGATAAGAAATTTATTATTTTAAATGTTTCGAATGATATGTTAATTCTAGATGTTAGAGAAAGATATTCTTGAATGATTTGCTAATCTGCGCGTCCATGGGACTTTTCAAGCGGCTATATGAGCAGCAGGTCATAACTTGTGCCAACATGATTCCTAAATTCTTCACTCTATTTTCTCTGTAAGAAAACATATCTCACATGAAAGTAGATCCCATTCAAAGTCTGAAACAGTCTGAAAGGGAAATTTGCACAAGCATATTAGTAAGTGTAAAGGAAAAAAAGGATCAATAAAATGTAAATGGAGAAAATATATTCCAGACCATAAGGCACATAGACATTCAATTTCTCTCAAAGCAGAAAAGATATTAATTGATACCCATTTTAAAGGACCAGGGTCTCCACCGCTCATCTCGTGCATGCTAAGATCACTAAATACTAAAGGATGTAGGACAGATGACAAAAGGGCAGCAATTGGGGCAATCCTACGCTTGTTGCAGCTGAGATGCAATATCCAAGAAGACTCTACTAGATCCATCATCATCTACATAAAAAAAAAAAATCAGATAATGGAGTACAAAATAAATAAGAAAATTCACATGAAACTCTATAACTAGTTTAAAGAGAATCCCCCGATTTAGATGTCAATAGGAGAAGACTGTAGACGTAATATGAGTCAGCAGACACTGTAACCACCACTTTAGAACTCCACTGTCACATAGTGCAAACAAAAATACCAACAGAAACCAGGATCAAGTTGAGAGAAATGGTCATTTACTAACAACGCCACTGTTTTCTTAGTTTTTCACCTGATCTAACAGAACTTTAGTATAAACATAATGAATTCATTTTCCAAGATGGACCATGCCAAGAAAATATAATGAATTTTCGTGCCCTTCAACAGATACGAATATGATTTAACCCCAGGAATTTTGTTGCAGTTTATATCGCATTGCAGACCTCTCTATTTGACAGCCAGTAACAGCTTCTGAAGAGTTCAACTGCACATGTAATAATTTGAAAAGAGTCTTAAAACAAAGCAGTGAACTACTGGTTACCAATGCTTTTTGTCCCTAACATTAACCTAAGAGCTGTTCCTCTTAAATAGAGTTAGAGTGCATTATCTTCCATTGCAACTCATTTTAAAGATCCGTAAGTTCCTGCCTTCCCGATTAGGGCATTGAAAAGGAGCAAATACGTACAAATCAAATTGTAAACAGATAAAAATGAGGAACACAAGAACAGATGTTACCTTCGCATCAATTCCATTACGTACAGCAGCTGGTGAGTACATTCTCCCATGGAGTAGGCCAATTATAGATCTAGCACATCTCAACAATGGCAAAACAGATGTTTCACCAGCATTCACCAGACTGCAAGAGGATTTTGGGCAGAAATAAGAAACTACCTGAGAAACACATTTGCATTTCTGAATAAAAGATACATAAGTTTACCCCATAACACCAAGAATCAAATAGAATCAAGCATTAACTACCCTGAATGATTAAATACAAACTTCCATCAAAGAAAAAGAAGAGTGGAAAAAGAAAAAACCTACATCCCCAGTTAAGGTTTCTACCTTCCCATCAGGACCTTCTACTCAAATTCGACACTCCCAATTCGAATAATAAACCACATAAAGCAATGCATTATTGAGGATATTTTACTATGGCTTATACAAAAAAAAAAAAAAAAAAACAAGGGAGCAATTTGTTTTGGTGATGAGCATATAAACTTGAAATAGCACCTCGATCAAGATAAAATGATAAATCAGATTCACCGTCTAACTAGGAGCTTATTTTTAGTATCATCTATCATTCATCAATTCCAATTACCTTTCAACAATGTCGTCAAACGTCATTCTCAGGGTGGAATCTGAAAAAAAAGAATACGCTGTGCAGGGATGAAACCCACTTTCACTCTCATTGTATGGAATTGAGAGTAAAGAATCTAAACAAAGCCACTGGAAAAAGAAACTGAGTAAGATAAAATCCATTAATGTGGATAGATTCAATATTTTTCTAATAACCACGTGAGAATTAAACTAATGAATAACAAAAGTCAAAACTAGAATATGATGTTCCGCCACCTTCCATTTCATTAATATAGATCGCCGGCTTCGTGTTAAACTACCCTTGTCAAGAAGATCGTTGATACTCTGAAGAAAATTATGAAGAAAAGGATCCAGAAGGAATTCGTTTTGTTCAACTCGAAATAAAGATCTATTGAAGACCATAACAGAGTCAAGAGCTGATGGAGAGAAAAGAGTTGATAGTGCCTTCAAAACAGATCCTAGAGATTCATAGGCTGCCAGATGAATTTCTGATCCAATCTGCACAGGGAGATCACAAAAAGAAAATATAGATGCATAAACTATCCACGAAAGATAATGATCCTTCAATCCCACCCTGTCAACAAAACTGAAATACTTCACCTCTGAAGCATTTGTTCGAAAGAGGATCACTTTGCAGCAGAAACCCCATAAAGAGGTAAATGATGAGTTAATACAGAGGTCCTTTCCAAGCTGCATCGTCCAAGATAAGACAGAAGCAACTGCCTTGACAGACAAAATCTGCTCAACCATGTATTAGGAGGAAGCCAGAGTGGAAAGGACTACAGTAATAATAATAGGAGGATATAAAACAAAAATAAGGATATCAAATATAAATGGTAGAATTATGAATGAAAATAACCTGGTAACCATAACCCAACTCATTACATTCAGGCTGATCCTGGTTGATATAATTCAACTCCAGCTAATCCTAACCTTTCCTTACTGAATACATCATATCCATTATTGGATTGGCTTGTACTGATTTTAGTTCTGTTACAGTCGTCTATGTAAGTTAGAGAATGCAAAGCCGGATAGCAAAAGAAATACTTAAGACCAAGAGACTGATAGATAAAAACAATAACGAAATCTATGATTCTGTGTTTGCATGTAACTTAAGAATAGCGACTTGACTAAAGGGAACAAGTGAGCATAGGAAACATTTTTGAGGCACAACTACCAGTCACATTTAATCTTCTCCTCATATAAAAGAATAATAATTTTTTTTCTCTTTTATTTAATGAATATCTGGAAATGCCCACCCTTTGAAAATGGTATTTTGTGTGTATGGCATGGTTATTTTGGGATAGCCTCTGGTGTCTTGACAATAGATGATTGAGCTAGATGCATATAAAGGCACTAACTACCTGTAAAAAACTACAATAGAAATTAGACTATAATGGTACAATAATAACAATCTAGAGAAGAGATACTGCAGAAACGTAATTGAAAGCATTCAAAGAGCCAATGAAAAAATGAATATTATGATTACTTCCAAAAAAAAAGCATAAAGGAGTGAAAAACCTGTACTTATGAAGGACTAGGCTAAACCAACTAGACAATCTAGAAAACATAAGGTATTGATTTTTTTGGAAAAAATAAAATTCTAAATAAAGATCAGCGGTCAATACTCAGAGAAAAAGCAAGAAAATATGAAGAAACTAAAAATAAGATAAGGAGATCGAATGGGTAGGATACAAATTGGAAGAGCAGAGAATGCAAGGACTAGCATCATAAAAATTTCATTGGTGCATTTAAAGAAGAAAGGGATAAAAGTTTCATCATACAGCTTGGAGTACAGAGGAAGTTATATGCAAAGGAAGTCTTCGTGGACTAGGACCCCCAAGCTTGCCCTTCGTAGAAGACGGTAGATCAATATTCTTTACGACAGGATCGGACCAAAATATCGAACAAACAGAATTTGAAAATGACATAAGATCCTCCTGATAAAAGAAAACATTATTAAACGCCTTTTCTATATTCAGAAAAAAACATTCATCAAGCAGAAACTGGTAGAAGGCACAACAGTAGTTTCTTTCATACCACTTACCAGAATAAGCAGGAATGTGTTTGTAAGCCTCCTGAAAGAAAATATACCTTCAGCAGTAGGGAGCAGACTAGGAATATCCGGCGCACTGATTCCAATCTTGGAACTGGATCCACAATAACATTTCCATTTTTTTAACAGAATTTGGAGTTCCTCCACCAAGCATATCACAAGGACGAGAAACTTAGGAGGAAACAAGTCCGGAAATGCTTTATTTTCACAAATAACACTACCAACATCCCGGATAACCTGTAAGAAATTAAGTGAAAAAAACTGATTAAAAGCACATTTGAGTTTGAGACACTTATTTCTCAAAATCGACTGTCTTTAATCAAAAATATACATTGATCGTCTAGTATCCAAAAACTCGGGCGTTTCCCAAAGTTTCCAACTCGTTTTCCATACTTGGTCTTCGAGAGGTATTTTAGTTCAGATGGTAGATAGATATCACATCTCAGTGGAAATTCCGCATGACCTACTTGAACTAGCCTTTTCTTTGATTTATATGGTGTTGCATAGGAACTCATATCCACCTTAATTCAAACCAGTGACAGAATTGAGTAGGGTTTTGCCTGACAACAATGGTGCAAAAAAAGGCCCACACAGCCAGGATATTTTTGATGTTCAGGCCACCAGGCCACTGAATAAGTAAAAGCCTGGAATACCGGTTTTAGATGCTCTCGTCTTGCGACCAATGGGAAAACCACCAAAGCGTGGCCTAGGCATAACCAGAAGTGGGAAGAGCACAAAGATACAAACCTGGCATACTGGTTCCAAATTCTGATCTCCTGTAACCATTAAAAAAAGCAGTCTGACCCATCTTTGTACCTCAGCAAACCATGCATCCAAATCCTCATCATCAAAAGAGATATAAACATCAAGCTCAACTTCATGCTTAATAAAGATTGCCGGAAAGTCAACAAGATCCCTCAATATCCCACAGTCAGAAAAATTGGAAGAATACCCACTGTTTCCATGATGTAGCCATTGTTGCACCTTCCTTCTCAAGGTACCTAAGATATATAATGTTATCAGAACCCAGTGAAATCAATGCATAAAAAATGGTGAAATAACCATCATGAACGAATTCACTTAAAAAACCGAACATATTGTGAAATAATAACAATAGAAAATGGTGATAAATGCTTCATATCACATGAAAAATTATTTCCACAAATGCAAGTCGAGAACATTTATGAAAGGATACTTTGTGATTCCTTGTTTCAGTAGTGTATTCAGAACTCTTAAATAATTGTAGAAAGTTTCTTCATCGTGCATCATAGAAATAGACACTAGACAAAAGATACGAGATAAATAAAATGCTTGTCTGTTGGCAAACACTTAACATCTGACAGCATGGCATCCTAGAAATTCAGGCCTAAAGCAAAATAATTCACACATAACAAGCTTGTTAGACTGCAATGATTTGGAATACATTTGGAGGGAAAGAATTTACAACATCCCATACTTGTCAGGTCTTCTCAAAAACAAAAATCAACAATGATTAATTAATTCAGCCTACTCTTTGGGGAACATGTCATTTAAAATAGGTTTCAAAACAGAAGCGGAGGATGCTATTCAAATTGACAATTGAGGTGACATCTGGATTGGAGCCTTGTAGTCACCTTGATATTCCTATTAATATCTCAATGATAGATTCTAACTGTCCATTATCTCAGTGATAATCATACTCCACTTGTCAAACATCAGGATCATATAAAGAATGATAAACACTTCAAAATCAATCTGCTAGCACTCAAGCATATTCATATTTGCACCATAGTTTCCCTAACTTCAATAAAGCGAACCACAGACCTAAGCAAAACGGAAATAAACTTGCAGCCATAAAATCTCACAATTTATTTTAGTTAAATGTAGTTTGTGAAAAGGAATTACAATGAACAAACTAACCACCAAATACAATGCAGCAAAAAATAATAGCAGAAGAGAAAAACAATGAAACTTTTAACCAGATCTGTACTTATTGTCGGTCGATAGAGGGATTTCACCTGACCTCCAATCGTACATCCTATCTCCTTTGTTCAATCGTCTTCTACAGTGGCAGCAGAGAGAAAACGGGGAGAGCTAGGAGATATCAGCCGAAGCCGTAAAACATCATTCTCAAGAAACGGTCCTACATTAGGGTTGGCATTTATACCAGCCTGCTAATACGGGAGAAAGAGAGAGGGAGCCGGACCGGTTCAGACTGTGCATGTTCGGTTGATGACTGTAGTAAGAAAAACAGCGAAAAAGAAAGGAAAAATTACACAGATGAACAATACAGAACAATCAAGTCATATTCCAACAATTATGAGTGTTAATAAGCCAGAAAAGGATGTGAACTAGCACGTTTATCTTATGCCTCCTTAACTCACATTAAGTTAAACAAATTCCTGAAAACTGATGGTATTTTTATCTATTTTCCATGACTCTGATTAGTGTATGTGGAATAGATCACCTTAAATGAATCCATGTTCTACTGTTTTTCAATAGCACAGGTTCCAGTGGAAGAGAAAGATGAAGATAGATGTAAAATTAAAGCAAAAAATGAAATAAGTTAACTAAAGGGGCGGCAGACTTTTTTAATCTCACCACCAAAGTCGGTAAATTCTCGTGGCAATGTTGAAATGAAATGCAATACCATTTCGAGTGGCAAGTCCTGAGCGCACAGCATAGCTGATGCAGCTTCCATGACTCTCTCACAAACTGCATGTCATTGGAAAATTAAAATTCATCAAAAAATCAATCATAATGGTAACAATAAGAAAATATTCTTTGTGTCAGTTAAAGAACCTTGAAGACGATAATTTGGATTGAAGTGTTGTTTGCTCCTCTCAACAATTACCCCAAGAATATCCAGCAGCTCTGAGCTTCTGCAGTTGATAAGGCCTCCATGATCAAGTTCTTTCTCCATTTCAGATACTTCACTGAGCTGTTGACCCTCAGTTCCAAGGGCCGCAGAAGAAAGACAAGAGGCAAAAGCCATTAGTCCAGGCCGCCCAAATGACTCTTGCCGAGCAAGAGAGGCCAAACTGTACACGAATGCTACTCGTTCACTACAGTAGAAACGAATGAAAAGTCAGCTTTTCTCGTCTGCCAACATCAAATGGAAATTTCTAAAAGATTAAAAAGTCAAAATATTTCAGATTTACTACAATCAAACAAATAAAAAATCCATCCTTCATCAACATTAATGGTAGAATATGAATCAACAAGACTGGATAATGTAATCAGCTTGAAAACTGGAGTAAAGAAAATATTGAAGGATCCACAAGAGCAGTTCTAACACTGACGAAATAGAACAAGTTGTCGAATAAAAGGAAACTCATCCCCATAAAAGAACCAACATAAAATCGAGACTCAAGCAGGTGGTTAGTGCAGATATATATCCTGGCTATCATACCAAGGTCTAAGGATCACAACACTACATGTCTGACTTAGTGTAGTGCCTTACCTGGAGCAGTATGCTACTGCATGACTTGACTAGTCAAAAGTTCTTACGAAATCTGTCCTTGTCAGTCCATGTAAGCAATTAAAATCAAGGGTTACACAGTGGTATGAATGGAAAGTTGAATCCATTTGTCTAGGAAGCGGACAATATAAAACAACACAGAATTCCATGCAAACCTATGTAGTCAAGATGAGAATCAAGGTACAAACACAATTTTATATAAAAGGAAAGACTATTGATGGATAAACTTTGAAATTCAATTCCGATGTTGAAATTCAATACCTCCTAACAAAATCAACAGAATATTGATGGATAAAATTTTTCGCTCCTTGTATAGCCTTAGAAGTGTAATGCCCTCCTAAACCTGAGACAAAATCTTGACAATATCATGCCTCAAGAAAACCCAGGGATATCTTAAATGATTTCAAACCATAACTAAATCCAAACACTATTGAAATCTCAACATATCACCAAAAGTAGACAAGAACCTGAAGTAGCTAAATTCATGCAGAGCCAAGTCATTCACCTGAATTACAGCAAAAAGAACTAGTTCGCATACAGTACAATGAGGTTCTGGACCAAACTCTGAAGTTTTATTGCGTACAATGTTGACGGCCCCAAGAACATTTATGAAAGTAAGAAATATAATATCAGCAACTGAGGAATTTTTTTACATTTCAATGATATAAAACGGCCGCTTCAACAGTACAGTGATAAGGCTCCACACACATATGCTAGAAGGAAGAAGGGCCAACGCCCAATAAGTCAATAATGGTTAACATGATTGAGGGAAGGCACAGTTATGGCAAGGAACAATATGACAAGGAACGGTTATGGCAAAGAGCCGTTATGGCAAGAGACTAACTGCCTAAAAAGAGAGGAAAAGGAGAGGATATAAGGATGGGCGGATCAGGAAGGAGGCAGGGAAGGAAAATCCGGTGTTAGTATCTCGTGCATCTACGAGAAAGGGTTGGAAGGTTGTATGCGACCCTCCATCCGTTTTGGGTTCTTTTACTGTGGCTTTATCTTTGGTATTTCTGTTCTAGAGATTGTTTCTTTCATCTAATACGAATTATTCATAGTTCTTTGATCTAGGTTCTTATCATACAGTAATCTAGTTTAGTGTTCAAAGACGTGGGGTTGATCATTCAGTCTTCTATTGACATTTATCTACTGGTCGAATACTGCTGATTGTTTATTTTGATGACATTGTTATTAACAAAGATAATCATGAAGGTATTTCATAACTCAAAGAGTCCTTACAAGACAAATTTGCCACCAAAGACCTTGGTAATCTAAAATATTTATTGGGGATTAAGATCACTCAATCCAAAGAGATATTGTAATCAACTAGCAGAAATATGTTCTTGATCTCCATAAGAAGATAGATACGTTTGGTAGGAAACCAACTACCACTCCTATGGATCCTTACTTAAAATCATCTTTTGATGAGGGTATCATATTGGCGGATCCGTAGAGGTATATACATCTAATCGGTAAATTGAATTATTTGACCATCACCCTACCAGATATTTCTTTTTGAGGGTATCATGTGGTGAGTCAGTTCATCTATCGACCACATGCTAAGCATTTTGAGGCATGCAGATATAGAGATATCTCAAGAGAAATCAAGGAAGGACTTGTACAAAAATAATGGTCATCTCACCATCCAAAGTTTTTTCAATGCTGATCGGACTGGTTGAAGTCAAGACAGACAATCTATCAAAAGCTAATGTATTTTTCTTGGTGATAACCCCATTTCTTGGAAGAGTAAAAACAATCTGTTGTCACTCGATTGAGTGTTGAATTAGAATACAGGGCAATGACAGATACTATATGTGACCTTTTTGGATTAGGTATCTTGTTAAAGAACTTGGTTTTCCCCATCCATGTCCTATGGAGCTCAAATATAATAATCAAGAACAGTTTATATCGCCTCCAACCTGATATTTTATGAGAGGACCAAACATATTGAAGTTGATCATCACTTCTTTAGATAGAAGCTTCAAGCACAACTTATCACCATTGTAGATGTCAAGTCAAACAATCAACTTGCTGATATGTTCACGAAGTCACTAAATGGCCACCAGGTTGATTTTCTATGTAATAAGCTAGGAGCATATAATATATACTCTTAGCCTGAGGTGGGATGTTAGAGTATGTATCTATGGACTGATTTTGCCAAGTCAGTCCATCTGTGTGTTTCAGCAATATCAGCCCATACTAGCCCATTTGGAGTCTAGTATATATATGCTAGACCCCATGATTAGGGTTACTTAGAGTCCTCTATTGAGACACATCAGGTCATCATCCCTTTCCTCCTCTCTCCTTTTCTGTCTCTAACTCGAGTTGTATTAGGAAGTATATCCAAATGATTAAATTCATGTTTCCAATTGATTAGAAACCTTTCCAACATTTTTTTACATGAATAGCACTGGAACAAGTAGTGTTGATTCTATGTAACAAGAATGACACCGCTCATTTTCTCATGTTTTGGGGGTCCTTTTATAAAAGGATCTACAATTCTAATATGGAGTGACAAGTGCTTGGACACACTAGGATTTTGTGAAGGAGAATAAATACTTATAGTAAGTACTATGTTCACCAACATGTTCCTTAAGGAGTACATTTCACATATGTGAGGAGCATTGTACACTTTCCACTTTGCGCATTGAACATGTTCTATGGTTGTTAAATGCACAACTACATTAAATATCTAACCACATCTTTAAGAAAGACATCAAAGTTTCCCTGTACAACAGCAATGGAAAGAAAATGAACGTGCCAATTGCATAAACTTTTGAAACAGTCTCCCTAAGACTATTATCTAGTAATTATCTTAGATAAGAGGTCATCTGATTTCATTAATAGCTGAAATAAAATAAGACCAGGTAAGTGTAAGATAAGAGGTAGAAAATGAAATAAGCATTTTGAAATCCGTAGAAAACTTACCAAAACCTTTATGATGAACGGTATCATTCAAACCCAATATAAACGGACCAAGTACAAAGCCTTTAGGCACATATTTTGCATAATGCCTGTGAGACTTCCAATCCATGCCAAGAAACGAGTCCATAATGAGACATCGAACTGCAATTTATGCATTGGCATGCAAAGAAACATAAGAATAGATAAACAGTACAAAAATATATGGATAACAACATACACATACCCTGGGGATTTTCGTGAAAAAGCCCACGCTCCCATAAGATTGCCAACCAGTTGAACATCTCATCTAAAGTTTGCATCTGATTTTGATAAACCCTTTTCGTACCAATGTCTGTGATATTTTCACATGAACCAGATTGAAAGAACAACGATATCTGCAACAGGAAATATGTCAATGCCCAAAATCACTGAAGACAACATAATGAACCTCATCAAACAATTTTATACGCGAAAGAGATACGAGTAAGCTCCTTACAGAATGTATACTGCAAAGGTGATATCTGTCAGAAGAATAACAAAGAATTCTCTAGTGAAAGATTTATGTAGGTCAAGCAATGTAGAAAATTTTGCACTAAAATATTTTTTCCTAAATGCAAGGAAATATTTCAATCGTTCCCCACAAGGAATATTAGAGCACACATTAGTACTAAACAGGAATCAATTTACATTCACAAAAATATGCAGTTGTCAGGTGTTTCACAAGAATAGGCAGCCAGAGTTAAGTTAAAGAGAAAAATATTTGACAAGTTAAATTCCTGTTGTTCAAAAGAAAAAAAGAAATAAATCAAAAGGAAAAAGAGCATTAATACTTTTCAGATATATAGATTTTCTACCAATTACAGATGAGAGGACTGAACCAATAAGCTTAATAGCTTCCCGTTCTAAATTTACAGCCTTGAATGTTGTCTTCCAACTCATTTTTCTAAGCAACTTCCATTTTATTTTGGAGGACAAATAGTGCTACAAGCTGAATTTCAAACTTAAGACACCTATAATAGACCTTTTGAGAATTCTGATACTTCTATGAGTACCTGATTTAAAAATCTGAAATCACAGGATGGAACAGACGAAATTTGATAGAGCTGACCTGGTGGGTCCAAGCTGCTTCAACCAAGTGTGTGCCATATTCTTCAAGCATCTCATACAAAAGAAGGAACGCATTCCATTTATCAAGTCCATTAACATTTAACCCACATACTTCACCCACACCCATGGATTTGGCTTCCTTATCAGCCCACTTTCCCCTCCTAGAAACGCCAGAACGTGATACAATATCTTCAGGAGGCATAGCCATCACAAGACTCTTGGCAATGGGATCTGAGTCAGCAGAGGACTGAGTACAATCCAACCCACGATTGCAGGAGTCTCGCAACAGCTTCTTCAGAATATATAACGAGTGCTTCCTCACAGAGGTATCCTTATCAACCTAATACAAAGCAATGGAAAAACTAAAATTCAGAACACAAAGAAATATTATTTTGAAAACATCAGAATGGGAGATAAACACTTCAAATGTATACCAAGCCTTTACGAATTTCCTCCCAAAATTTGTCGTCTTCTCTTATATTGTAGTCTCCATCAACATTGTCTACATGTCCCTCAACACTAAGAAGGGATAAATACAATGAAATCAAGTTGTAAGCATCTGCACGTTCCTGTTTCCCAAGCAAAAACATAGCGATACATCTTTGCCATACATTTCTGAAAAAATGTGCTCTGTAAAAAAAAGCTAAAAACGATTAATAACTAGTTTGGCTGTTTATCAGTAGCAACTGTACTGCAAAGGGATGAGGCAGACTTATTCACCTAGAAAATGAGTGAGTTTTTCCGTTTGCCAATACTTCAAATGAAGGTAGTAGTTGTGCTGTCCTAAAGATAACTGGGAACAGAAGACGAATGGCCTCTGACCGACACTCAGAAGATTGCAAAAGCATGTCAACAACAGTAAGAGACAGATCCCACGTCAAATTTTGAGCAAAGGCATCTGAAGATTTGATTCCACCAACCAGCTCCATTTTTTGGCTTGTGGTCCTTTCAGAATGACCTCTTCCCCTAAGGGCAACACCAATTAAGGAGCTCAAGATGCGGGATGCAACTGTCAGCGACAGGGAACCAGGCTCAATGAATTCAATGCTCCCCCACTGATAAATAGAGAGCTCGTTTGGGTGAGTGATTTCTAACGACAGGCACACCGACCTCAAGCACAGAGGTACCAGTGTTGATGTCATGAGATCCCAAGATTGTCTCGCAGCCACCGCATCGCAGAGAAAATCCGCGAGCTAAAACCAGAACCACCGATTATTGCAGCGAGGCAGAAGTCAGATATACTGCAACGAGTGAAAACGCATTAAAATGATACGTGTTTACCTGGTCCAGCAATTCCACAGCTGCAGAACTGAGCAGTGGCACAAAAGCCCGCCGTATGAACATTTCAAAAGCCTCATTTGATACATCTGCGACGAAATGCAAAGAAGTAACAATTTCTGATCGAACATATACCTAGTAATTTAAATATTAAGAAAGATAGACAATAACCGGGATTCTTGATCAAGTGGAAAAGTGCGCCCGTGTAAGAAATCAGCGAGCAAGATTGAGACATCTCTATCTTTGAGTAATCATCCTTTCGAATATCCTAGATACAAACACCATATTATCTTCAGGAATCGATGCAACCTAGAGGCTCCCACTCCATACATACCTCTGTGAGCAGGGTGAAGGCCCTGAGAAGCGAGAAGAAGAGCTCTGACGGAGGGAAAGCCGCGGAGTTCAAGACGCAATCTATGAAAGCAGGGACGGCTGCGGGCGGGACAAGAGCCAGGCTCTTCGCCATGGACGAGAGCCAGGGAGACGCGTGAATAGGGTCGTCGGGGACCGCCGACGCCATACTCGACCTCTGTCCACAAAGCGGCTGGGAGAGCAGCGAAGACTGGAAAGGCGACTTTACCGTTGCCCTTTTCGACCCACAAGGCCCGCAATATTCCCTCAAAATTTCAAACTAGACCCATAAAACCAGACCCGGCTCCCTCCTCCGAGGCAACCCTAATGAGCCGTTGGGCATGTAAGGGTACGTTGTAAATGTCATTCAAAGGGGAATTTTCAAGGTTGGCCACCATACAAATCATTGGTCTCCTTCCCTTGACCAACTAACCTACAGTTGTTCCTTATCACATTATTCAATGACAGCTAGAACAGCATGGTAGTGCTGAGAATGCATTTCTTACCAAAACAAAATCTAAAATACTTGAGTAATATTGCAAAGGGTTAGGATACAATATCATCGATGTTGTTTTAATTGGAGTGCACTAGGAACCTAGAAGGGGGGAATTGGTCCTTATTTATTTATCTTCAACACATCTCTGAAGTTTAATGGCCCACAATATTAGAGTTGTTCAGCTCATCTTAGGTTCTACTAAACTCTTGTTAAATACTCTAAACATAAAAGTCTAGCCTTTGCATTGAACATTATGACCTCCATAAGGTTCCATTGAGCACAATGGCCTTGGCAAGCCAATCTTCTGAACACTACGGTCTCAAAAAATGCCCACTGAAATTAAGTTATCAACAAGCCTATATTAAATCTGTCAATGGTAAGAAACCAAACAACAAGTGAAGAAATAATTAAATAGTCTATCCATTTTTTTCATAGACGAAAGTAATCTGTGTTAGAGTCTGAGAGATTTAGTAGCAAGACCTCTTTTCTTGTAGGTGCTCAAAAAATGCCGATTTCTCATTTTAACTCCTCAAAGGATGAAGTCAAGCATTGTGGGGCAGTGGTCCCATATTCCTTTTCTATCTTTGATAAATTATAATCTGGGTTAAAATGGCCATTTCATACGTTATTCATTGGGCCATCCAATAGTATTCAATGGGTGGAAAATAGTCGGTTTATTGTCAAATCTGTGCTTGAATGTTAAGCTTCAAAAAGTGTTTTTTCAATATTTTAAAGTTAAAAATCAAATCTTCAACATTTGATGCTTCATTTGTTGAATCTTGTTCATCATTCAATTGTCTTTCCAACAATTATATAGAGGCTTATACTTCTGAAAGAAACTTGAATTCAAAAAGTTGTTTAATCATTTGAGGCTGTATATAGGTTGTTTTGCCTTCAAGAAAATTTCTCTATTTTGGATATAAGGTTAAACTATTTTAATTTACACTTGGTGCGTAGCATAGTTTAGCAATTCTAATATTATCATATTTCCCTTTGCCATAAAATGGTTAAGGCTCATAAAACTGATAGCCAATATATTATAGATCATGTAATCATATTTAATTTAAAATTAGCATGTGCCCTTGTCTTGTGTCTTGATCATTAAAGTGTTGAAACTTTTCTTGCAAAATTAGTAAACTAGCTTCATTTATATGGTACCTAGGTAGCTATGAATGTTAAAACTCTTCTAAATGAGTGAGTTGACTCACTTATTGTACATATGGTTTCATCTCATTATAAGCATGAAGGGTCTTATTGCAAGTGAATCAAATTACTTCCTACAAGGAAATGGATACATAAATTGTGTGAACAATGAATCTCAAATATAAGGGACTTTATTAAGGGTTAAAGAAAGATACTATTCACTGATTAACTATAATGAGAATGTAAAATACTACTATATCTTTATATGACTTTTTGTTGTAGAAAAAGTCTCCTTAATAGATGATTTTGCTCTGTTTATGAAAATTAGAAAGGATAGTGGTGCAAATAATCCTAAAATCAGATGACTTTACTAAGATTTGAAAATTATTTTCCCATATCTTTACAAATACAATGTATGTTTGAATGTTCAAATTTACTATTTTATTGTTCTTTATATTTAGTCTACATGAACACTAGGACTCCAAAGCCCAACATTAAATGTACATTGTGCGTTTAAATATTTGAAATATTTTATTATAATTCTTGGTAAACCATATGATTTTTGGATCAATTGTCAACTCTCATAATCTAAACCTAATTTCAAGAGGGGAGTCATCTTATGAGTGAACTCATTTCATAAAAATAGTTTTTAAACTCAAAATTTCAAACACACCTCATAAGAGTAAATACTAAATGTACATTTACAGTATATAATGTCACCACTAATACATTGGCTATATCTTCTAACTAATCCTCGATTTATTCATGAGTTACTCACCTAGTATGAAGAGGACTAAGTAATAATAAATGGTTGGTGGCATTAATTTGACCTACTCTACTCTCTAAAGTTTATTTTTCATTCCACAATCCAAAAATAGTACCAAAAAAATTTACTAGGCATCAGCTTGCCTTTAATTAATAGTACATTGATAGTTGGAACAACTTAAATGCACCTCATCCCTCTCCTCAAGATTCTAGGAAAAAAACACTAAGTTTGTTCTTGGCTGACCATTCCAAAATAAGAATATGAAAAATGTTTTAAAGAAGTATAATATGCTGAATTTTTGTGACCTTGGATAAATTTTGAAGTTTACAAAATCTTCTGATGGAAAAAATTCATTTTATGCCAATAAATTGCAACTAAATCAACTACAACATTTAAATATAATATTTTTCTATTGAAAATAGTGTGGTATACAAATAATGATATTTTAATAAATTAATTTTAAGTGGTGGAACAATTTATTCTATCAAGGTTAAAACATTGACTAAAGTTTCTATTGCAAAATAGTGTATTAAACAAAGATTGAAATTGATGGTGTTAGGCTTTTCCCACTATGAATTAAATAGTTTTATGAAGAACTAAATTAAATCTGATACTCAATAGTTTTATAATAAAGTTTTAGTGGCATAGTAACTTGGAGCGAAATGTTCTTCTCATAGCTTTCAAACATTAAAAGGTCAATGACATAGGTTCATTTTGAAAATGGTTTATTGTCACTACTAAGGTGCAAATTTCTCTTTCATAATATTTTTCATGCTTTCTTGGTTCCGTGCTCTTACTTCTCTTTCATGTTTTGACTTTCCAAATTAATTTTATCAATAGAAATCTTGATGTATTTCATTTTTTCCTCTATAGTGAGTTGGGATTTTTTCTATTCCATTTCAATAATAGTCTCCACACTTTAAAGATATGAGTCTGGTTCTATTACTGCAATTCAACTATCTTTATAAGTTTTAAACTAGTGTGTGATTTTACTACCAATTCATTGTTGTGTAGATTTTAAAATATTTAATCATTCAAAAGTATAGGTGGATATATTATTATATTATTTTAGACTGACCTAAATACATCATGTATTGAAGTAGGGATGTTACATAGTAACTTATGTTACAGAATAAATGAAATGCATTGAACTATTGCGCATTGATATTGGGTTATTCAGCAGCATAATTCTCATATATTGAAGTATTAATTTGGATAAATAGTCATTTATGTATCACTTTTGCATTACATACTCATGTTTTATTACAAAATTTCTATCTACTCAAATAGTAGGCTTGTCTTACCCTACCATTTTGCAACATGGCTCCAAATATCTTTAGATATTCAACAAAACTCTATATATAATGGCATATTAAGCTTGATATGCTCAACTATTTTGCGAATTATTTCCATGTACTAAAATATTGCTCTTAAATATTTGATGATTTTCCAATTTTCTCTTTAATTAAATACTTAAGTCATTAACCAAATTTGTGTCTTGAAATCTCAAGCTTTACATCACTATTTTTCACAAAACATCTCAATCATATTAATGTTTTATGTATTGAAAACTTATCAATGCAAACTTCATATATTAGAAAATTATCATTGATTTACTATGACCTTCTACAACATAGGCTTCCTTTATATTAAGGTATTCTCTATGATTAATGAACTCCACTATAAAATATTCATTTTAACAATTCAAGATTTTGCCAACTTCAAGACTTATTTTTTTATAATAGATATGAAAGATAGAAAAGCAAAAAACACTATAGTACTAATGAATTATAAATTGAGCAACTTAGCCTTTGGTAAAGTTATTCATTTGTCTTATAAAAGGATTAATTCAAACATCATTCAAGAACTCTCTCAACCATAAAAATAGAACTCTTTCAACCATTCACTTACTTTCTCAACCATAGTAACATAAAATGGAGCATCATTTACTATGACTTAATGTCACACCTCTATTCATAGAGACAACTACCACTCATAATAAGAGCTTAGTATCAAATTTATTCCATAGTAAATAAGAAATATGTCACCATGCGATGATTTCTGAAAGATGATGTTGACTTAGAGTGCATTTGGAACTTTGTTGAAGAGGATGATGATAAAGACATGATATTTGATGTCCTCTTCTCATAAGGATGCTAGATGAAGATTGAAGGTATTGCCCCTTTGAACTAGTTGAGAATGAGCATTGAATAGTTAAACAATGCTCCTCAACTTTGTGTCTTCACGTAATTTGACTACCAATTAAAGACCTCACAATTTCCTTCAAATTTTTCAATAGAAAAACTTAATATAATTCATGAAATTGTGGAGGGATTAGAGATATTCATTTAGATCTAATTAGCCATTGGAAAGCTGCTATATTTATAGACAAATTTAATTTGAAATCTCATCAAGTTTTCTATCATATCACAATGATAATATTTTCATAAATGATTTGAAATTCAAAAGGCTAGAAAACTGAGATGATACATCCTTTATGAGTTTGGCTATCCTCATGAGAAACCAACAAGTGATTTTCTTAAAGCACAATGTAAATATCCAAATTGTATTGCTTAAGTCAAGATTGGTAAAGATCCAATATTAATAAAATAAGATTCATAATCTATTTCATGAGAAGATGATAATTTCGTTATCAAATCTTATTCGAATCACCTCAACGAAAATAATATCATCAAATAAATATCTTAGATCATGATCTTAATATTTATAATCATAATTTTGGTGATTCAAGATATCTAAAATG